TTTATTTTGGTTAATTTGATTTTAAGAAGTCTTTTTAATGTTTTTCAGAGAAATGACAAGAAGGATACCAAGAAGGATGACCAAAAAACGCCATTTGTGGGTACAATTCGCATTGGTATGCCACCACAACAGCCATTACAACCTGGGCAAATGACTATCCCACCACCCGTACCATTACGACCACAGGTTCAGGTAATGTTAGGTACAGTTCATACCATTCGGATCTAAAGATAAGTTTTTAGAGCATTATTAATATGATTGTTTCAGGTCCCTCCACCAATGCCATCATTGCGTCCACCAACTCAGGTTGCGCTGATATTACCACCTAATCAACAGCCTCCGCAGTTGCGTGGTCCTCCACCAACCTCACAACCTCTTCCGCTTGGTTCACTTAGTGTGACACGACCACCGGTCAACTTAAGTGCTCCGCCACCAAACATGCCAGTTCAACTATCAGGTAAGCGATATTTTAATACAGAAATCCAAGCATATAGTCAACCAGTTGTAAGTGCAGCCAATTAGATGTGTTTAGTATTATATGCGCTTCCTGCCAGTTTCTTTATATTGATTTTTTCAGCAGGAGCACCGCCACCCGGCGCTCCACCAATGAATCGACCACCTCCGGGTTTTGGTCAGCCACCTCAAGCTTTGCCACCAATGTCGTCGGCGGGGCCAGCGGGTCCATCGAGCACTTCACAACCAGTATCAGGAATGGCTCCTCATGGTGCTCCACCCACTTCGCATCCTCCTCCTTCCTTTCCACCGCCAGGTGCCCACATTAATCCACAAGTATACCGTCAGAATTACGGTGGAGGTATTTATTTAATTTTCCGTAATTAAGTTTCCATAAGAAAATCATTTTAAAAAATCCAACAACAGGTTTTAACTAGTGTAAATTAATAGAGTTGAGGGTAATAACTGTGCATTTTTCTATTAAAAAAAATTACAGGGCCAGCATCAGTTCCTTGCAGCATCGAAGGAGTGTCGGAAGCCGAATTTGAAGAAATAATGAATCGTAACCGTACTGTTTCGTCGTCAGCTATAACGCGTGCTGTAAGTGATGCTGCCGCCAACGATTATGCATCTGCTATTGAAACACTGGTTACTGCAATATCGCTTATTCGACAAAGTCGTGTTGCCAATGATGATCGATGCAA